CACTGGGCTGTGGGGTGTGGGTCAGCCCTGTGCTCCAAGTCAAAACACTCCTGCAGCGTGATGCTGAGGTGCAGAAGTTTCACCCTTCATGCCTGAGTGGCCTTTTGACCTGCTTCCTAAGTCGTGCTCAGTTCATCTGCCAGAAAGAACTCTCTCTCTTTTTTTCTAGTGGTATTGGGGTTTGAACTCCGCTTTATGTTTGCTAGGCAGGCACTCTTACTACTTAAGCCACATCCCCAACTCTTTTTTGTTTTAGTTATTTTTCAGGTAGGGTGTCATGTTTTTGTCTAGGGCAGCCTTGGACCATGATCCTCCTGCTTATGCCTCCCGGGTAGTTGAGATTGCAGGTGTGCACCACCGGACCCAGCTTTTTGATGGTCTTGTGAACTTTTTGCCTAGGCTGGCCTCTAACTATGATCTGCCTCCCAGCTACCTGGGATTATAGGAGTGAGTCATCATACTTGGCTTCAAAGACCTCTTTATCCTCAGGATCTAGGAAAGCCAGCCCAGCCATCAGGGGATATCTATCTAGGCAGAGAAAACAGCTCTATGGACAGAGTAGAAAGACTTGGGCTGGATTCTAACTACTTAGGTAGTTTAGGTCATTTAACCTACATGTTTCATTGATGTTCATTTGATTCCTGTGATCTCTTACACTGTAGTAGTATTTACTGTTCATGAAAAGCCATCTTTTTTTGGCTAGTGGAGTGACTCAAGTGGTCGAGTGCCTGCCTAGCAAGTGTAAGGCCCTGAGTTCAAATCCCAGTATTACAGAAAAAAAAAAAAAAAGAAGACGACTGATCCAATGGAGGATCAGTGGAGAGGGGTGGAGGGTGGAGGGCGAGGGCTGTGATTTTGCCTTTCTTACTGGCTCCGACTGATGCTAACGCCACTGGTTACACAGCACATTGGAGTAACAAAAACTTAGGTGCTATAAGGCTCTATGACTGGGGTATTTGGTTTATCAAGAGGAGAACTAGTTATTAAAAATGAAAAATGTAGTGGTCTTGGTAGTTTGGTCTAGGCCCAGTTGTCAGACCTAGGGTGCTAAATCAGGACAAGAGCCACCACGAGGAATGGACTAATAGGTGAGTTGCAGTGTCGGGCTAGAACTCTTTAGTTATTTCTGCTTAATCTAGACTACAAGGTGAATGCCATCACCTAGACCTATGTAGTTCACAGTCTACACAATCATATATGATATGGCCATGTGTAAAGATTGGATTGGTTCTCAGGAAGAGGGCAGAGGTAATCATCCATTGGGAAAGGAAGACTGCACAAGTTGGGAATAGAAGAAAGGAGGAAGTGCCTAAAGATTTAGGATGGGACGATAGCAATGACCAGAGGTAGATCCTGGACATCTTTGATGATGGCCACCATAATTCATTGCTTGAAACCATTGCATCTATAGTTCTGGGGATACAGTAGATACTCAGTAAAAGCTCACTGGATTGCAATAAAATCACAGACTGAAATGATTTGTCTGTCTCATCTCAAAAACCACCTGCAAAGATAGTAACCCTACTTTTTTCGGTGGAACCAAGCACCAGAAACAAATGTACACACAAGAGCACTCCAGGAAGAGAGGAAGGGCTTGGTTGGCCATTTCCCTTTTTGTTTTACCCAACATTAAGCACTTTTTTATTGATCTAGTAATTCATCATGGAGTGGGTGGGCCTCAGCCCTGTTTTTCCCTCTGGTTCATGAAGCTACCTTGTGATGTGGTTTTAAGATATTTTTGAGATTTTGATGAAAGCTAAGCACAGGCTTTCCATAAAAGATAGCTACATACCTACACTATTGTTATTGCATACAATTTTTGGCTCCATTGAATTTTTGCTGTCCCCAAACTGGATCTCACTTCTTAAAACTACTAATAGATATTGTTACTGTGATTTCTATAAAATAATATTCCATTTCTTTCCCTATGGGATCAGTTGTAATACATGTTTTTCTCTTGAAATTGTGTGCATGTATATAGATTTTTGGTGCATGGGATCAAACCCAGGGCCTTGTACATACTAAGCAGGTGCTCTACCACTGAGTTAAAACTCTGGCCCTTGAATACTAGTTTAAAATAATGCTTATTAGAGAGTAGTGTTTATCTTCATGGCTGAGTTCCTACCTAGGCTGTCTGACAGGAGAATGTCAAGAAGAGGGAATTAGAAAATAAGGGAAAAACTAGAATGCCTAAACAATTTTTCTGTTAATTACTAAAAGTTATGTTGTCTATCAGATCGAAAAATTTAAAAAAATTATTATATTTAATTCTAGTAAGGGTACAGGTAAAAAAAATACATTGTTGACAAATGACATCTATATTGTTAGCCGGAAATCAGCCTTTCTCTCTCTCTCTCTCTCTTCTGTCTTTGTCTCTGTCTGTCTGTCTCTCTGTCTCTCTCTCTCTCTTAGCGGTACTGAGGTTTGAATTCAGGGCAAGCACACTACCACTCGAGCCATGCCCCAGCAAGAGATTTCTTAAAAGAGAGAGAGTGCACGTTCAGCAGGGTGTGGGGGTACATGCCTATAACCCCACCACTTGGGGGAGGGGAGGCTGAGGCAGGAGGGTTGTGAGTTCCAGCCTGGGCTATATAGTAAGACCCTTTCTCAGTCAACAAACAAACAATAAAAAACAACGTCAAAAAGATGAGTGCAGTCTTTAATCTAGGCACTTTAATTTATCCAGGAGCCGAGGAATCCTGGCTATAAAAAAGCTTTATGTGTAGAGATAGGAGGAGCAGCATTGTAGATGAGGAGAACTAGCAGCGTGGAAACATGAGTCCTGTTACTTGAAAGTAGGGAATAATAATGTAAAGAATAATACTTTACATTTAATTCTTGTGCTGCGGTCCCTGAATCTTAAATCAGGCGGTTCTTAGTTCTCTACTGTTCAGTGATTACTGGCTACGCAGAGGCTTTGGTGAAGAACAGGCCTACTGAGTAGTTCCTTGCAAAGATGTGACTTTGGTGGTGAGGTAGCGCCTCCAAGCACAATTAGATAGGTAATCTGGGGCTTGTGACGGTAGCCTTTGGTTGATTTATTCAAATTTGGTACTGGAGATTGCATCCAGAGCCCAACACATGCTAAGCACCTGTTGTATCCCTGAGCTTAACCCCATCCCTGCATTTACATTTTGCTAAGATGGTACAAAGAACTGCTCAGCACTCCTAGGTTACTAATTATTGGGTTGTCTCATAGACGTTTTCCAGGCTGTCTAATGAAAATGTCAGATCTGCTATGTGACGTGAGAGAAGCTTGCTTCTCCCCACTCCCTTCCTGGTCTTTCCCTCTAACTCCTGGCATTCCCCCTACCAAATCATCTTTTGTTTCTCTGAGAAGGACAGCTCTAATTAATGTTTTTCTCCTAATGACAGTTATGCCCAATCATTCAACTTCACAATACCTTCCCCCTCCAAATGTGTTGTTTTATTTGATCCAGTCTTTTGAAGCTGGGTTTGCATGTCGGTTGAAGGAAAATGTCTCATGGCTCACGCAGCGAATTTTAAGGCTTCCTTTGCTTCCCTCATATCACGTAACAGTAAAAGCAACAGCAATAGTTATACTTACGGATATATACTTACTGTGTATCAGGTTCTGTTCAAACAGCTTTACCTAATTTAGCTCATTTAATTCTCCCAATATTTCTGCCTGTGGAACAGCCTTACTCCTGATCTTAGTAAGGTTGGACCAATCCTGGTTATCCTTTCGGACCAGGGATAGTTTGTCTTTTATTTGGGGAGCTATCAGCTTGTCAAGTAACTGGAAAGTGGAGGAGGGAAAAAAGTATACACAAATAACCAAGCACAGCACATTGGGCCCTAGTCACTCTGCTCTTTCTGACCTAGTGCCCTTGTCTTGTCTACTACGCATATTTAACCAAGGTGGGTTTGTTTTGGGGTAAGTGGAAGGAAGGCATAGGATGCAAGTTTGAGGATTAAAACACACAAACCAAAATGAGTCAGATTTATCCTGACAGAATGGGAATGCAAAGGGAAGGAGTTGTCATTTTAGGCATGGAAAAGTAAAGGAGATGAAGCAGAGAGCTTTAGGGTTGGGTGCGGTGTTTGCACACTGTCTGTCTGCACTTGCCTGCAAATCCATGCTGTCAAGGACCAGTGCCGGGGACAGATGGAGGCTAACAACTGTAAATTTCTAGAGGTCATGGGTTGTCCTGTTCCCACCTCTGTGGATGCTACCCTGCTGCCACGTGACCCTGAATAGGCTCCTCAGTAAACATCTGAACCTGAGCTCAAACCTCGCAGGACTCAGAAGCACCAAGAGGCTCTGCCTGCCCTGGCCAGACCTCTTGATTTTCCTTTTTTTCACAGAGCTGCTGCTGCCCCCTTCTGGGGTTGGTAGGTTGTTTTTGGGGGAAATATTTTAACTCTGTACCATTGTCCAGATTATTCTTCAGCTAGCTCTTCAAGGTCTGCAACCCTTGAGGCCTGGGTGGATTTTCAGTTCAGACCTGGGTAGCTTGTGCGGTGAGGAAAGGTCCATTTCTGGAGATTGGACATACCGTGGAGGATTTGCAGAAGGATTTGGCTTTATAGGATTGAAAATGGGATTCTTGTGGTAAGATAGCAATAGTGGAAAGATAACTATATTGAGAGTGAGCAGAGCTCAAATCTAGATCAACCTTGAGTTTTGGCACTCCAGGTCCTATTTTCCTTTTGGCAAAACTAGGAGGCTAGACTGGGTCAGCTCTATTCTGGTTGGGGTGAGGGACATCTATAGGGCATGGGTCTCCCCTCCCCTAAAGTTCCTGCCCCAACTCAGAGCAGCTCTACTTTGAGCTATTTTATTTCTTGGGTGTCAAGTAAGGATATTGTAGGAAAAAAATGTCCTCAAAAGTCTGCAAGCCACTGGACTAGATGATTTCCAAGGTCCCTTCCAACTCTAATGGTGTGTTTTTATGAACTTAAAATTGAGCCAACAACTTGAAAGCTGACGTCACAGTACCCAAAACATCTGTGTAAGTGCTGTGAATGTTTTGCAGGCGGACAGCCCTGAAGACATGCACAGCTGGATCAAGGAGATTGGGGCAGCTGTCCAGGCTCTCAAGTGCCACCCCAGAGTAAGTCACTTCCGTTCTGTTTTATAGTGTTGACTTAGAGATAAATTCTCCCCGAGTGGGCGTGTTTTATTTGGTGATGTAGGCAGGCAGCCCAGGGCCTACATACAGCTGGAGCCACAGGCTGGCTGGCTTGTTTTTCTCTTTCTACTACTTGGGGTACACATTTTTATTTTACTCTTTTTGGTTGTTGGAGGAGGCAAGGTCACGCTGGACAGAGACATGGAGTTTCTTATGTATCCTACAAGTCTCACTGCCAGGCAGACCCTGACACATGCAGTGAATTCTGCTCAACTTTTTATTTATTTTTGAGGTGTCTGGCTATGTTGCTAGCTGGCCATGGATCCCTGGGCTCAAGCACTTCTCATCCCCAGCCTCTTGACAGATAGGACTCCAGGTGCATGACTACACCTGGCTTCATTGCATGTAATTGATTTTTGCAGACGAGTGTCTCTGGATTATAGTGATGATACTGGGTGGGCACTCTTCCTGGGACTTTGGGATAAACTTGACAGAAAAAAAAATCCTTACTTAACTTTGTCCTTTTCTTCTCTTCTGTGTTCCCAGGAAATGTCCTTTTCCAGATCCATTTCTTTGACCAGGCCTGGAAGCTCCAGCCTCCCAGGTGGGCCTATTTCTGTCTCGTGTAGAGGGAGGCCACCTATGGAAGAAAAGAAAGCCCTCTGCAAGGCCCCCTCTGTGGTCTCCTCCTGGCAACCCTGGACACCTGTCCCCAAGGCCGGGGAAAAGCTGGTTCCAGCTGAGGAAGCTCTGGAGGACTCATTGTTCCTGCCTCGACTTGGGGAGAGCAGTACTGCTGGGCTGCTACCCAGCTCCCGGATGAGGCACAGATCAGAGCCCCAGCACCTGAAGGAGAAACCATTTGTGTTCAACCTTGACGATGAGAACATACGGACCTCTGATGTGTGATGAAGCATGGCCACAGGAGGAAGGGAGAGAAAGAGGGCTGTGATTCAGTTTCTCTGCCTTGTTTGTTGGAGGACATTCAGAGGTCTTCATGGCCCTCATGTCCTGAAGGAAGCTCTGTGGGAGGAGTCCATCCAGCTGGCTTTTTTTTTTTTTGTATTATCAATGCAGTATATTTAATTTAGGAAAATCATTAGGTTAGACTCATAGGTGTACCAGTGGAGAGAGCGTTCCTTGCCTCTTGTTGACTTTCCCAAGGTCTTCCTGGTAGGGGTTATTTTTTGTGCCTCCTCTTCTGAGGAGGTTGGGAGCTCTATTTTACCCCAACCAAGTTTTATTTCCTTGTCCTTGTTTAGTTTCTTCATTTCATTTTCAGTCTAGGCTCAGGATCTTAGGCCGGTCACCTGGTTTTATCCCATTTCTCTTTACTGGCTGGCCTTGGGGGAAGAAGCAAGGTGGTATTAACCCAGCTGAAAGATAATGAGATGGGGAAGATGAGGTCTAGCTTGAATAGGATCCACCATGAAAGGCAGTGCTGGGAATATCAGCCAGGGTAGATTCCTAGAGAACCTTCTGGGGAAGATGGCAATCTCTTGTGAGGTGCACCAGCCAGCTGTGGGAATTACTCTCTTCCTCTTGATGCTCTGTGACCCCCAAATGCTATAGATAAGAGTGGCAGATCCAACAGTCCAGTTTCTGGATCAGGCCCAAGGATGCGTGTATCAGTGTTAGGTGTTAGGAGTGTGGAGAGCAGAACAGTGTTATTTGAATGGGTGAGGGGTGAGGGTGTAATGTGTGGAATACATCTAGCTCTGTGTTAGAGGTTCAGATTAGCTTGAAAGCAGGTGCCAAGAAGAGATGGGTGATAGTCATCCTGCTTAGCTTTTTTGATTCATGTTTTCCAGAAAGGAGAAAAGTTCTGTTTGGGCAAAGGCAGACTATCTTGAATCTTTGCCTCAGAGCTCCTTTCCAATGGGTCAACATTTGTCTAATTATAAGTGCTGTGTCTTGTGTACCCTGATTGATTTGTTACTTTTTTATCCTTGTGTTGCCCTTTGGACAAAGCCATGAGCACTTGCATGATGAAACCCTGTAATCTGAGGAGGTTCCTTGTACTTTAGTGGAAGTATCTATATCTATATCTATCTATCTATCTATCTATCTATCTATCATAGATAGATAGATAGTGTTAGAGGTTCCAAGTTGCTGGCTTGAGATTTCCCAGGTTTCAAAAGAGCCTAGAAAATTGAGTGTTCCGCCCAGTTTTAGGGTGTGCCTCCTTCCAATAGACAGGTCCTATTTCCAGTGCACTTGGGAGCATATGTCTCGCCAATGCCTGTGACAAATTGCTACCAGAAACTTGTAGGGGATTCTTAAAGGGAAAGCAAATAGTGCTCATCTCCATTTGTAACTTTTACCAGCTAGATCAAGTAATTTTATTTTAATTAGAAATTAGTAACCTAATTTACTTAGTGACCTAAGTAAATCCCCACCCTCCTCTGCCCACATTTAATGCTGGAGAGAAAGCTCTTGTGACATTCTTCAGTGGCTTGAGGGGGACTATGTTTCTTTCTGGAAGTGTAGTCACTCTGAAGCCTGGGTCATGGTGAGAATTTGCCCTGGTCACTGCATTGTGGCTGTCTCTCACTTAAGTTTAGCGTTGTGGTCCCAGGTTCCCCACCCCCACCTCCTCTTTAAAAATAAACTCTTGTGTACTTTTGTTCTCAGACATTTTGGGTTTGGGAATTACTTATTTACGAGTGATCATGGTCACAACCAACTTCATGTAGCATGATTTTAAAAAGCTATTCAAAATTCCTAAACCCCTTTGTGTCTGGTTTTACCTTCAGATTTTTCTCAAGAAAATTCTTTGCCTAGTCAACAGAAGTACATAGTGTGAGATGTGGAACTAAGGAAAATAAGGAACTTTTGCAGTGCCTGCAAACATCCCCTGACTCATGGAAATGATGTCACAGCTTTTGGTGTTTAAGTTGTCACAATCTACTTATTTCTCTCTTTTTAAAATAAACTCTGCTACATTGCTACTTGTAAATTCACTGGCTATTATAATAAGCTGATAGGTTTATATCCAGTTAGGTCTATTTGAGAGTGTGTTAAATTAAACATAATCCAATTTGTAGTAGCTTAATAAAGGGAAAACAAGGACTTTCTTTCTTTTTGAGGACTCTAACTGGCAAACACTTGCTAATGTAATTCCAATATCAGAAAAATATCTTCCATGAAGCCTAAATGTGAATACATTCCCAAATCTTATTTCAGAATTCCTTTTCTGTCTATATTTCTTACTTTCTGGCTAATTTCACATCATGGTCTTTTTTTGTGTCCTTGCTTTGTTTTGTTTTGTATATGAGATAGAATCTCTCTGTATAATCCAGGTTGGTCTTGCCTCAGCCTCCTGAGTACTGGGATTACAGGTATGTGGCACCATGCCAGGCCTTCCACAGTGTTTTCATGTGAGCCAAAGATGGTGCATATGTGATTGAAGCTAGAGTGGGATGCAGTAGAGGTTAGTGATCAAGTATAAGCTTGGAAAAATTCTGAGTAGTTATTTTAAAGGAACCAAAAGACATAGTGCATTTTCCTTGTGAAATACGACCCATGGGAATAGTTGGTTATTCCCATGAGGCTTCTGAAATGGTCTTGACCTGCTGTGTGTGCTAGTGTTTCAGGTGGTCTTGTCTCTCTCTCTCTCTTTCTCTCTCTCTCTCTCTCACTCATATATATATATATCCTTCTTTTCCTTCAGTCCCCTTTTCTCTTTGTGTTATTGCCTGCCAAGTCAATTACAGTCACTGGTGTTAGGTTGAGTTTGAATAAAGCAAATGTTTGGCAAAACACAGTTTGTCCCTCCTGCCTGCTTATGAAGGTGTGGGATGACAGTTGTGTTTTGAACCCAGTAGGGTTGGCTGTGAAAATGCACTCACTTAAAGCCCTGAGGGGAGTGCATGAAAACTTAATGCTTTTCAGTTTATGTGATCTCCTAATTGGTATGTAGCAAAAAATAATTTTCTAAAGCTGTTTTGTTGCTTGTTTTGTAATAAAACCATGTGAAATCCTGAAGTATGGTTGTGTGTTTTCCTAATGAGGACCTTCTGGCTGTGGGTAGGTGCCTGTCAGTCTGCCCCATTAGTGGTTTATGGATTTCTCGAGGTAGGCCCCTGCTCAGGGCAGGGCTAGGGACCTCCCTTCCCTGCTTGGGAGTGGCGCTGGCCCTGGGGCAGGCCGGGTGGTGGGGTATGCGGGGCGGGGGGTGGGGGTGTGCCGGGCTCTGCCTCTTAAAGTCTGCAGGCTGAAGGAGGAAGCACCATGACCAGGAAAAAGCGTGGCTCATTTTAGGTCACTTGTGAGTGCAGGGTGAAGTAACTGGAAAAGTGGAGCGAAGAGGGAAGGGAACAAGATGAGTAGACCTCAGCTGCAACTGGCTGGGCTCGGACATTTCTTCCTGCTGTGGCTGCTGTTGCCCCGGTTGCCTGTGCCCAGAGTGGAGGCCAGGAGGTCCAGAGCCTCGCTGCCCTGCCCGGAGGCCTGCGATCCAACGCGCTGTCCCCCGCTGCCCACCTGCTCGGCGGGGACGACGCCGGTGCTGGATCGCTGCCGCTGCTGCCGCGTGTGCGCGGCGACCGAGGGCGAAGCCTGCGGCGGGGCGCGTGGCCGGCCGTGCGCCCCCGGGCTGCAGTGCCACGCGCCGTTCCGCCCAGGGCGCGGCGGCGGCCGGCTGGGCACCTGCGGCTGCCCGGCGACGGGGGCGACCGTGTGCGGCAGCGACGGGCGCACCTACCCCAGCCTGTGTGCACTCCGCGCCGAGAACCGCGCCGCGCGCCTCCGTGGCGCGCTCCCGGCCGTGCCCGTGCAAAAGGGCGACTGCGGGGCTCCAGGTGAGCTGGATGGCCGCAGGCTCTCCGGGCGCGACACTTTGAACTTAAAGAAGTAATCATTCCCTTACTTGGATCGCACAGCTCGAGCGGGGTCCATCCTGTTTCATTTGCCCAGGGATCCAACCTTTTTTATGTTCCTGATTTTTCTTTCCTACTTCCGATGTCTCCTTACCTGCTGCCCCGTGGCTTCTCCTCATTCACTTTGGATACCATCATCCCTTTTTAATTTTTTCCGTCTCGTATGACAGGTCTGGTTGCCTCAAGGCATAGCCCTATGGGGGCCCCCAGTCACTTCGTAGGAGTGGGGAGCATGAGAGAGGAAGGAGAGGGACGGTGGGAGAAGGGAGGAAAGAAATTCACTCAGAGATTTGAGATACACGTCCAAATCTGTCAGGGATCGAGGCTGCCACTGCCCCCAAGCATGGAGCATTTCTTCACAGGAACCAGAAGCCCAGGCTGGCTCAGGAGCAAGTACAACTTCATCGCGGAGGTGGTGGAGAAGGTGGCGCCGTCTGTTGTTCACTTGCAGCTGTTCCGCAGGTAAAGCTCGCAGGAGCATCTTCTCCAGCTGACTGCTTCTCGGTGCCTACCTGCTCCAGGCCCCTTGCAAACATCATTAAATCGTAAAAACCGCTGCCAAGAAACTTAGGCACAAAGAGATTGCTGACCATGTAGCTCAGTAGTAGAGCCTACACCTAGCACGCGCAAGGCCCTGGGTTCCATCCTCAGCCTTGAAAAAAACAAAAAGGAAAAAAAATCCATTCAAGGTTATTTAGCCAAAGAGCAAGGCACAAGGATTCTGGCTTCCGAACCTGACCTATACCTGTCTGGGCACTGACGTGGCTGGGGAGGGGGGCGGGGAGAGGAGGGGTTTTGTCTCCTTCATGTCCCATAGGCACAATTTAAGGCCAGATGTGGAAGCCAGCAGGCATCTTGGTGGTGAGCTGGTCCAGCCCCATTGCTTGCATGCAAGGAAGCCCAGATCCAGATACCAAGATTAAATTTTTCTAGGTCACAAGGCCAGTTGCTAGTGGAAACCAAGCCCCCTTGACTCCCTCCCTGTCCAGGTCATTGATTTTGTGGCGCTTAACTCACAAATGCCTACAGTATTATCATTACCTGTGGCCTGTTTGCAGCAGAGGGCCCACAGTGCCACCCTCGCTCCCTCTGAGGAAGGAAGCAGTGTCCTTGAAAAGGGGAATTGACCTCAGCTCTCAATCCTGTTTGCTAGAGATGGCAGGACACACTGCACATGGAGAAGATAAACAGAGACAGGAAAAAGTAAAAAGTCAGAAAAAACAGTGATGGAGATATGTTTAATGTGTGTGAAGTTCCCCCATATTCTCAGATGGCGGTTGGATCTCCTGATTCCTGCCCTCTGCTCATATTGCTGTCTTCCGGAGACAGGTCACCTCTCAGCAACAAGGAAATTCCAGTCACCAGTGGCTCTGGGTTCATAGTGTCTGAGGACGGGCTCATTGTCACCAATGCTCATGTAATCACTAACCAGCAGCGGATCCAGGTGGAGCTCCAGAGCGGGGTCCAGTATGAAGCCACTGTCAAGGACATTGACCATAAACTGGACCTTGCACTGATTAAGATTGAGCCAAATGTGAGTAGTTGGGAGACAGTCAGAGTCTGCATGTTTGGGGATTTTCATCCATTTGCTGATGTTTTCTTTCTCACTCCACTAGCACACCACATCTTTTCTGTCTAGTATGTGCTTTTTTCTTCTTTCCTTCTGTTTATTATTTTTTTTCTTGTCTGTCTTTACATTCCTGGTGGTTTCTATTAGTTATCCTGAAGTCTTTTCTATCTTTTGTTTTTCTTCTATGACTCCTCCAAGGCCGCATCTAGGAAAATAATTTCTCTGTCTTAAGATACCAGACATTATTGCGATGGGCTCAAAGCCACTAAGAAATGCTTTGAGGCCTTTGCTATACAAGCTGGGGTCGGCATGTTGTCTGTGGGGTTTGTAGAAATGTAGACTCTCAGCCTCCAGGCGTATCTACTGAGTAGAACTTGCATTTTGCTAAGATTCCCCAAGTGTGTGGTGGGCACAGTACAGTTTGAGAAGTACTGTTCTGGGTGATCTCCTTCCTGTTTGTGGCTGGTTCACATTGCAAACTTTTGAGTTAAAATGTGCTAAATGAATTGGCAATGTCAGTTTGCATCCATCAGTTTTTTTGCTGGCGGTTTGCAAATAGTAATTTCTATAAAGCAATAAGTTTTAATCCTAGAGGTGATACTATCTGAACAAGTGAGAGGTTGATGGTAGTTGTACTTTGAGGAAGAAGCATATGGTAGCTAAAGAACCTTGTGTGGGAGGGTGCTTCTTTGATAAGTGCCAACATGACAGAGTTGGTGTCATAAATGTGTTAGATAAAAATATTGGGTGATTCTGCTCTTGATTTGTTCTCTGTCCTTTCTGACCCCCTCATCCCTCCTGCCTGTGTGCAGACTGACCTTCCTGTATTGCTTCTGGGAAGATCATCTGATCTTCGGGCTGGAGAGTTTGTGGTGGCGTTGGGCAGCCCATTTTCTCTGCAGAACACTGTTACTGCAGGGATTGTCAGCACCACACAGCGAGGAGGCAAAGAGCTGGGGTTGAAGGATTCAGACATGGACTACATCCAGACCGATGCCATCATTAATGTAAGTCACTTAAGAAGTCTTTCCTCATCCCAAAAGATACTGGCAGGAGATAGAAGAAAACTTCAGAGCAAACTCTTTTCCCTTTGGCCTTTTGGGCATGTCCAGAGGTCAGTTAGATCCCCAGGAGAGGAATGGAATTGTTAGTGTTTGAGCCTGTTGGATGTGATACCTGACATCCATGTTACCAGATGGTCTGGCAGAGTCTGTCATAGAGCTCACACTGCTGCAGAACGCAGGGTCCTCTGTGGTTCTTTTTACTTATACTGACTTCTGTATTGTGATGACAGGTGGCATGATTACGCCTGCCTTGGAGGACCAGGTGTACTAGAGCAGGCTGCTTCTGATAAACTCATTAGGATCTATGTATAAATGACATCAAGTGTATTCTCATGGCTTTTTCAACTTTTTATCTTTAGCACGGGAATTCTGGGGGTCCTTTGGTGAACTTGGTAAGTGGCCATTTTTTCTTTGTTACTTCCTATTTCTTCTTCCTAACTTTCAAATTCTATGATGCAGACTTGAGTGGCATTCTTGTATAGAGAATTGTGGAATGATGCTTTTTGATTCTTGGATCTTAAGTAATTGGTTAGGAAAAAGTGTATGATCTATGATGGATTTATCATCCTGTTGTGATCCATCTCACGGAGAGCACCAATGTTCTGGCTTTGGTTTACTCTGAAGTTTTCCTCTTCTGTAGGCTTTCTGTATTCATTCGACAGTTACCAAAAGCCCCAGATATTAAACCCAGATTTATACCAAATGACCAACTATGCTATGTAATGTATATTGTTGAAGAACTCCTGCTTTTGCACATGAAGAACCGTCCCTCATCTGAAAATGCTAATTATATAATGTGATCTGTTCAGGTTTTTGGTCTTGACCTGCTTATAGATGGCAGAAAAGTTGCAACCAGAACCCATTGTTTTATCATGTATTTCTATTAAATTTGATGTCATATCTCCAGAGGAAATGTCAAGATTTCCAATTGTTCAAGTACAAATGAAAACACAAGTTAGACTTGTGCTTCCCTCTTTAAACATTTGCATTTGTGTGTGTGTGTGTGTGTGTGTGTGTGTGTGTGTGTAGGTGCTGGGGTGGAACTGAGGAGGGCCTTGCACACACTAGGCAAATGCTCAACTCTGAACTACATCCCCAGCCAGTTGAGCGCATCTTATCCTCAACATTGCATGTAACTTTTTGTGCCTGCCTTCTTTGTTAGACAATGAATTCACTAGAGCAGACATATAACACATATGAACTTCAAGCTATACTTCAGGCCTACTGAATTATAACCTGTGTTTTAATATGACCAGAAATCTCTTTGCTGTCCCTGCCAATACTTGACAAAGTCTAAAGAAGGATGAAGTATATAGAGCTACTTCACCGCTTTAGTTCAGCCGACCTTCATTTCCAAAGGTCTATTTTGCTAGTTCCTCCTAATAGTTTCACTGAAGTGTTGCTGAACATCCAACAGCTTTTTGCCTTTTCCATGTTTACTTGTAGCTTCATTTAAGTACTAAAAAGGCAAATACACCTTATTCTCTTATTTGTGGCAAAATGCAAACAGACTTGTTTTTTTTTTAAATCACTGTACTTTGCTAAAGGAAAAATGAGTTTGAGATTAAAAAGAATATCCTCAGCCTTGACCCTTTGACCCTGTGACGCCACACTAGTTGTCTTGCAAAGTGACATCCCTTGCTTTCTAATGAAGCAGTGAGAATTTCCCCTTGCCCTGCTTCTGATCCTGATGATTACTGTCCCCCTTCCCTCTGAATGCAAACGCTGTAAAGTTGCAAAGCTGCATGATAAAATGTCTTCTCCCTTGCCAGGATGGTGATGTGATTGGCATAAACACACTGAAGGTGACGGCAGGGATCTCCTTTGCCATTCCCTCAGATCGGATCAGACAATTCTTGGAAGAATACCATGAGCACCAATTGAAAGGTGAAGGGAGTTGGGTTTTTTCCGTCCCCTCTTGTGTTCTTCAGGAGCACTCTATTTTGTGGACAGTGACCGTTTGAATTCTTTATGATACTGGGTCTCTGGCTTTCAGATCATGTAATGGTGGTTTAGGCAACCATGCCGGGGACTAGGCAGAAAAACCAAGCATGAGCTGTACCTGGAAATGCTTGGATTAAACTAGTGCAGAAATGAAACCCGTGGGCTGGAGGTATGTCTGTGTTGATGATAAATGTTCTTTGAAGCATGCATTTCATGGCAGACAACATGCAAGAGTGGCTACAACAGCAAAGAGATTCTGGGACTCTGGTGTCTTTTAAGCTGTGCCAAAAAGAAAGAAGTTCCGTTGTGAGTCACATATTATAATTTTCCTTTCCAGGAAAGGCTCCTTCACAGAAGAAATATCTGGGTCTACGAATGCTACCCCTCACCCTGAAGTAAGCACGAGTTTGTGACCTCTGGGATGCTTCTCAGAGGCAAAAGTCATAGACAGACAGTCTTAGTCGGAAAACTAATGCACTTGGACTGCGGTGAGAGTACTCTGTGCCCAGAGGCTCTATTTGTCACAGGGCAATGTCTGCCTCTGCCTGTACCAGTGTTCATTAGACAAGAGTGCCTTTCACTGACACTGTGCGGTATCATGTCCAGTGATCCTAAGCTTTGGGTACAGGGCTGGACTTCTTGTAGAGGAAAATATTGAAAGTGGCTGGATGGGACCCTCACGGGTGCCTGAGAGCCTTGGGTGGAACACACAGGCTGTACTGCTGAGAGCTTCATGCTTTCCCAGGCCTCAGATGTTACCTCATTGTGTTTGCGAACCTTCTCTTCCCTTCCAGCCTTCTTCAAGAAATGAAAAGGCAAGATCCAGATTTCCCTGATGTGAGTTCTGGGGTTTTTATCTATGAAGTGATTCAAGGATCAGCTGCTGAAAGGTAAGTACAGGGCAGGCCTTGGCCTAGTCTCCTGAGCTCTTTCTAGGTGCATGCATGGAAGCTTTCATGCATGAACTACAATTGCTCCATCCAGTACTGTGTGGTCAGAGTGATTTAGGAACTGAATTTAAAATGTCATTTCACTTTAGTTGATTTAACCACACCTTTTTTTTTTTTTTTTTTTTGGTGGTACTAGGGCTGGAACTCAGGCCCTCACACTTGTTAGCCAAGCACTCCACCATTGGAGCCTCTCTACCAGCCAACTTTAGTTGATTTAAATGAAAAAAAAAATCGTGAAATATTTTCCCACTTTCCTTTTTGTCTTTGGAAGGATTTCACTTTAATCATTGCATGGTGTAAGAGATCACATTGGGCATGTGTTGTTTTGAGTGTATTTCAAAGACTTACATGAAACAGTATAAAATATCTGTCAGAAAATTTCAAAATATTTATTGCATGTTAAAATGACAATATTTTAGATATACTGAGTTAAATAAGATACATTATTAAAATTAATTTTATGTTTTTTTTTAAATGTATTAGAAAATTTTAAATGACATATGTGGCTTGTATTATATTTCTATTAGACAGTGTTGATATGAGTAAATAGCCTAAGTTTAAGTTAATTTTGTTATGAATTACCAAATCTACCCTCCTTCCCCCCCTCCCCCTTTATTTTTAATTCTGGGGATTGAACTCAGGCAAATGCCCTAGCCTCCAAATTTACCCTCTCAATATTAATAATTGCTGCTTAGCAACTATTAAGTCTTATGTAATCAAGTAATTGATAGTTATTAAGTATTAATGGCAATTAATTAATAGTACATAATTAAATCATTTAAAGAATTAACTGCTAGTTCATATGAATAGAAGGATTCAGAGTATTATAAGTTTTAGTGCATATTATATATAGATCTTTTTTTTGTGGAACTGGGGTTTGAACTCAGGGCTTCTTGCTTGCAAAGCAGGTATTCTACCATTTGAGCCACACCTCCAGTCCATTTTGTTCTGATTATTTGGAAATGGGGGATGGTGGTCATGAGAACTGTTTGCCCAGGCTGATCTCAAACTGAGCCTCCTGATTTCTGCTTCCCAAGTAGCTAGTATTACAGGTGTGAACCATCAGCACCCGGCTTATATGAAGGTCTTTTAAAATATCTTAAGACCTGTGTCATAAAATCAAAGTGTAGAGCAGCCTCCGAAGAAGATTCTCCAGCTGACTATTGTTGTTTTGGAACATTTAATATTAGGGAAGAGGTAGCTGTCTTACAAATAGTATTTTCCTGGGCCTCACACTTCTTCATTTCCTCTGGGTGTTTTTATTTTTCAAGAGCTTAGCCATCCATTTAGACTACAGCAACTCTTTCATAGGGGGAAAGAAATCATAGGTACCAACAGTTCAACATGGTCAAGTGTTAGGACTCAGGAAATCTGGCTTGTCATAGGCTCTTCTAGACTTCCCTGGTTCCTGCCTGGCTCTTCCCCCAATGCCTCATTTTTAGCTTCTGGTCCCAGGCCAAATTGACTCCTTATAGCTCCTAAGTTTTTGTTACTCCAAATGTGCTGTGTAAGCAGTGGTGTTAGCATCAATCAGAGCCAGTAAGAAAGGCAGAATCACAGCGCCCTCCACCTTCCATTGGATCAGTCTTCATTTTTTCTTTTTTTTTGAAATATGTAGCCCAAACTGGTCTTTTGATGCTCCTATTACAGCCTCCCAAATGCTGGGATTACAGATGTGAGCCACTGCACCTGACCTCTTTGTGTGTGTATGTGGTGCCTGCTATCAACCCCAGGACCTTCTTGCACATGCTAAGAACATGTTCTGTCCCTGAGCTACCCCCAGCCAGAATCTGCATTTTTAACAAGAGTCCCAGGTGGCTGTAATTATGCTAAAATGTGAGAATTACTGGAAGTCACTGATATACAGAAATCCATCCTTTCTGGCTTTTACCCACTTTTTTTCCTGATGAAACAGGCTACACCTACAGCCTTACTAATTCTTTTCTTCCCTCCTCTCTTTCCGTCCCTTCTTCCCTTCCTCCCTCCCTCTGGTACTAGTGGTTGAACTCGGGGCCTCATGCTTGCTAAGCAGCTGCTCTACCACTTGAGCCACTCCCCCAGCCCTGTTTGCATTGCTAATTTTTGAGACAGGATCTTGCTTTTTGCCTGACTGGCCTGGACTGCAAACTGCCTATTTGTGCTTCTCAGTGCACCTGGGATGACAGGTACACACCATTGTGCCCAGCCATTGGTTGAGATGGGGGTCTTGCTAACTTTTTGCCTGGGCTGGCCTCAAACCTTGATCCTCCTGATCTTTGCCTTCCAAGTAGCTAGGAATACAGGCTTCAGCCACTGTGCCTGGGCCTCCCTATTTCTTTTTAAACTTCAAATTATCTTGGTAATCCTACTACGCTATCATTTTTTCTTGTGCTTCTGGTTTCCCTTAAATGGTGTCTCCTGGAATTATTTAATCTGATGTTTCTTTTCCAGTTTATTTTCACCTTTGAGACAAGTCATCAGTCTGTCTGGTTATCTATTTACTGAAGTTTCATTTTTGGAGCTGGTTTTTGTATCTACATTCTACTGTCTATGTGAAGAAAACATGTTAGAGACTGAACAACCACAGCTTTGAGGAAAATAAGCTGAGAGCCAGAGCTTTCAATATTTAGTCTTGGAAGGTTGACTGGTTTTTAATTTGCTGAAAGCAGAACACCTATAAAATGGCACAGCATACTCTGCACTTCCTTAGACTATGGGCTGTCCAAATCAACTGATCAGAGAAAAGTCAGTGTTTGGGCTTGCACTGTGGCTGGTAAGACTGGGAATGTGCTTGAGGTTAACAGAGGTCAGAGATGAATAGAAATAAGAAGCAAAACTTCATTCCAGATCAAATCCAACATACGGTAGGAGTAAACTCCTTATGTGATTCTGATAGGATATTAATTTTACAAAGGTAAATACGATTGTCCTCTGGGTGATTTCATAGCATATCTTAGACAGCCTTCATATTTGGAAGGATTGAGGCTATCTGTAGCTTCCTGGTTTGTTTAATGCCAGCAAAATAGTTATGTCAGACAGAGAGATGCTGTGTTCTAGATGGGGCAAGTAAACCTCTCATGGTTTCATGGTCTTCTTTTTCTTCCATCCTTTCTTCCCAGCTCAGGATTGAGAGACCATGATGTAATTGTCAGCATAAATGGGCAACCTGTTACAACCACAGCTGATGTCATCGAAGCTGTTAAGGACAATGATTCGCTTTCCATCATTGTGCATCGAGGAAGTCAAACCTTGTTCCTGACAGTCACACCTGAAATAATCAGTTAGCTATCTGACTTTAAAGAGAAATTGTCTAACAAAACCGAAATTATATTACCTGGTTTGTATTGAAGATGTGCCAAAGATGGTAGAGGCTTTAGGATTTTTTTTTTTATAAAGACAAATGGATGCTTTAAACACATACACACACACCCACACACACCCACACCCACCCCATCAGGGATCATTAGATGAAGGATGCCATTCTGCTGCAAAGAACCCTTCCTAAGTCAAGTGGAAGAAGGAACTGGGACACGGTACCAGGAAATCTGGGGAAATGATGAAAATTTTAAAGACAGGAAACAATTAAAAAAAAAAAGGCACAGTTTCTAATTAAATCTTGACAGAGGGACATTTGTGGCTAGAGAGGAGGGGCACGATTTAGAGGGCAGGTTGAAACTGGTGATAGCAGATTATTACACAGGAATATTATTAATGACTCACCATCCAATTATCACTCTAGCAAGTAGAAATAGTTTTGGTCTCTAACCATGTTTCTGACTGAGAAAAGAGCATCTGCTATAAAATAACTTCTTGAATAAATTACAGGCTTGTAGTTTTTTTACTCAAATTCTTCCTGGCAATGCTAATGATTTCAAGTCTTGGAGTTGCCAAAGGTTTTTTTTTTTTTTAAAGAAAACTTTCATCAGGTGAGGTGGCTCACAGCTATAATCCCAGCTAATCAGCAGGCAGAGATAGGAGAATCTCAGTTTGAAGCTACCCCAGGCAAAAGTTAGCAAGACCATATCTCAAAGAATGGTGCTTCATGCCAGTAATCCCAACTATGCCAGAGGTGGAGGCAGGAGGATCAAGGTCCAAGATTGGCCCATGCAAAACAAGTAACCTACCTGAAAAACAATTGCAGTTAAAAAGGTCATGGCTCCAATGATAGAGTCAAGCATGAGGCCCTCAGTTCAAATTCCAGTACCATCAAAGAGAAAAGGAAACAACTTTTGGTGGGACTTGGAAATATCCCTAAGGAGATTAAAAATAAAAGTGAAATGTGGCAGGATTTATGGCTTAATGTATGTTATAGTAATATTTTAGTTTCCATTTGTAGAGTTCCTTTAGAGTTTGCTAAAATTTTATTTTTTTGCAGTGCTAGAGATTGACCCCAGAGACTTGTACATGCTAGCAAGCATTCTATCACTGAGCTACACCCTTAGCCAAGAAATGAGATTTAAAAAATTATTTAAAAAAATGTCCCTTAAGTTTTATGCAAAGTTTTAGGTTTTTTCCGAGGAAAGGGTCTACTTTCTTCACAATTAAAAATACTGCTTTTTTGGGTTCAAACCCCAGCCCTACTAAAAAAAAAAAAAAGAAAAAAGAAAAAAGAAAAAAATACTGCTTTAGGGTATAGTGATTATGAATTAAGAGTCTATCAATTAATACTGTTATACAAGCAGGATTAAAATCAGTGTGGTTCAGAACTTTTAAAACAGAACAAGATACAAAATTGCCACCTCTGGTAATAGAACAGTGATCTTTTTAATCAAGGGTGATAAAGCAGAAACTTTTAGGAAAACTGATACAAAATGATACAATATTTTCAGGAAAGTTATTTTACCTGCAATTCCTGACCTTTAAGTCAGTTATTATGAGAGTAAATTTTGAGTGGTTTTATCTTGTTTCTAGAATTTGTAAATTATTCTGAAAAGCAGGGTTTTGGTGTGACTTGCTTACTGAGTCACCTTTTAGTAACTTAACAGTTACTTAACTTAGATTACAAAAGATGAGAACCAAGTTTTGAAAAGCACTTATAATTCTGAACTCTTCCTTTTATGCTTGCTTAGAGACAATGTGTTCCCCTTCTCCTTGTTCCTATATTCAATATCCTGTAAATAGGAAGATGCTTTTCTTTTCAAAGGCGTGGACTTCTCATTTTATCACATCTAACCATGAAGAGGAGTTTTACAGTTACTTGTATAAAATCTTTTTTTATTGACTTATCCCTTGGGCTCTATAAATCGGCAAATACTAATTTTTTGGATACGACAATTCTGCCAAAAGGAACAGCTCAATTATACATGTATGATATTGTTGGTTTTCAAAACATAACTGCAATGAAGAAATTATTATATTGTGTATACTTCCTCTGGAACATAATAATGGTATACAATAGTTTATTAATAGGGTGTTTCATTTCAAATATGTAGCTTTTAAACATTGATCTACCATTTGATCCAGCAATACCACTCTTGGGGATATACCCAAAAGACTGTGACACAGGTTACTCCAGAGGCACCTGCACACCCATGTTTATTGCGGCACTATTCACAATAGCCAAGTTATGGAAATAGCCAAGATGCCCCACCACTGACAAATGGTTTAAGAAAATGTGGTATCTATACACAATGGAATTTTATGCAGCCATGAAGAAGAACGAAATGTTATCATTTGCTGGTAAATGGATGGAATTGGAGAACATCATTCTGAGTGAGGTTGGCCTGGCCCAAAAGACCAAAAATCGTATGTTCTCCCTCATATGTGGACATTAGATCAACAAGGGGATTGGACTTTGAGCACATGATAAAAGCCAGAGCACACAAGGGAGGGGTGAGGATAGGTAAGACACCTAAAAAATTACCTAGCATTTGTTGCCCTTAACGCAGAGAAACTAAAGCAGATACCTTAAAAGCAAGTGAGGCTATTAGGAAAAGGGGACCAGGAACTAGAACAAAGGTTAGATCAAAAAGAATTAACCTAGAAGGTAACACACACGCACAGGAAATTAATGTGAGTCAACTTCCTGTATAGCTATCCTTATCTCAACCAGCAAAGACACTTGTTCCTTCCTATTATTGCTTATACTCTCTCTTCAACAAAATTAGAGATAAGGGCAAAATAGTTTCTGCTGGGTATTGAGGGGGTAGAGGGAGAAAGGGAGGGGGCGGAGTGGGCAGTAAGGGAGGGGGTGGGGGCAGGGGGGAGAAATGAACCAAGCCTTGTATGCACATATGAATAATAAAAAAAAAAAAAAAAAAAAGAATGGAGGCTAGGGGGTTGTCCAAAAACAGTAAGACAACAGGTCTGTCAAATATGTGTATATGTATACCTATTTTAATAAACTAATGGGAACTCAAAAAAAAAAATGTGTAGCTTTCAGCAAAGAAAAACAATTTTCAGTTTCACTCTCTCTACTGAAAATACTCATATAGCCATTCCACATTGGTAGAATTTATTCTGCAATTTAAGTCCAGAAAGTCAGAATTTCAGTGTATGTTAAAATCCATGGCCATTTCTATATCTGCTGAAGATTTCATTGGCTCAGCTTCTGATCTTACCTGCATGGAGATTCAGGCTCACGAAAGGCACATGGGTAACAATATTCACTTTGTTCTCTTGATGGGTCTGCCTGCTTCAGAGGACTGAAGAGATAGCGATGCACGGGAACGAAGTTGTCACTATCTTTTATATTTTGTACACAAGGGAAGGTAAAAATTTGAGTACCACAACATTGTTTGCCTGTCATTTCTAAGACTAGAAATGGTGTGATTTGAGTTGAAAATTCGAAGTTCAAAGAATCCTTCTTAATAAACCCATTCCCTCCAAAGAGGTGAGTGATGTTCAGGTCTCACATCAGAGCAGAATTTTGAGCTCACAGAGTTGAGCTGAGAGGTCAGTGCCCCAGGGCAGGACAGCAGCGCGTTTCAGTAAATAGTGCACCAGTTGCTGCCATCACTGGGCATCAGCCCTCCAGTGATGAGCAAAATAAGGTCAACGAACCACCAGATGCCAAGTCCTCCAAGTGTCAGTAGCTTCCCAACTGCTGTGCCAGTGTGTCCCAAACAGAAGCGATCCACTCCGAAACATCCGAGGAAGAAGGAGTACAGTAAAGTGGTTATGAAGTAGTGTCCAGTATACCTGAGGAGGAAGAGGAAGATGTTTTGTTATGTAAGAACCGAAGCACTTAAAGTTGAAAGAATTTAACATAAGCACAGCAGTCCCTTGGTGGCCTTGGATCCTGTTTTCTTTTTTGATATGGTCCATTAGGTGAAGCCACTAAGGGAGACACAAGAATCTCACAAAAAACCAGTTTATTATACTTATGAGTTCTAGAGAAAGGAGGCATGACCTGCTCTGCAGGGCTACATGCAGGGATACCAGGATGGTCAGAAGACAGGAGCAAGGGGCAGGTTTAGGCTACTGCCTTTATTGGGGTTTCTGCAGAAAAGTCAAGACAAGGCAGTGAGAACAGTTCAGGAATGGATAGTTTGAATAATTTCATAAGACTCTAGGGTGTTGGGGGTAGTCCCGAGTGGCCTGGCACCTGGCCCTGAGATGATTAAAGCAGGGTAATAGTCTCATAGGTATACAGCCAGATACATGAAGCATGATTCTGAATTGGTTGATTTGCTTATCAAAGGGATGGGCCCTTTGCTATCTCTAAGAATTGACTAGCCTTGGGAGAGGCAGTCTCTCCCCAACCAGAAAGATTTTTTTTTAAGGTGTCAAGTACCGTAATAAAAATAAAAAAATAATAGAAAGTTTTACAATCCACTCTTTTAGCCCTCCCACTCCCCTGGTTGGTGTAGGGTCTCAAAATTTATTTGCTAGGCTACAAAGGACCTCGAGGAACAAACACTGGCTTTTGTGAGGTTGGATTGGACAAGGAATTATGAAGCATAGCTGCATATGGTGTAGTGGAGCCTGGGCTCCTGCTCTCCTCTATGCAGCTCCTTTGCTGAGGCTCACTTGGTTCCTCTAAGTGATCTTTTCTAAGGAAGCACTGTCTTTCCCTGAAAGACCTCATATCTGTACACCTTTCTCGCTGTTTTGTAGCAGCTAAAAGCCAGGATTTCCTGAGTTTCTGTCCTTATACAGGTCAACTGATTGTCAGAGTGAGGAATCCCCACTTTTAATTAAAAAAAACCCCTTTATTCCTGGCACATTAAGGCAATTTTTATAGGATTTATGCCTGTTAGGAGTTTTGGGGCTAGATCATCTGGTTCAACTCTCTTAGAATGAGGAGATGAACTCTGAGTGCTTAGAGGCACTCAGCTATTCAATAGGACTTCTGGTCTAAAGTCCAGTGTCCTCCACTGCCTCTTGTCAATGGATATACACAGGAGTAATCACATTTCCTCTTTTATGCTTTTTTTATTTTTGAGACAGGGTCTCACTATATAGCCCAGCCTGGTCTTGAACTTGTGATATTCTGGTCTCTGCCTCCTGAGTGCTGGGATTACAGGCATGTCCCATCCATCACATTCCCTCTTTAACACTTAAAAGAAAAAAGTCACACCAAAAAATGACAAGGAAATGAATTTACCTCCATTCAAATACCAAAGATTCCTTTCAAAGTAACACTGTAGGATAGGAGTGTAGTTCAGTGGGACAGCAGGTGCTTAACAGCCTGGGTTTAATTCCCAGCAGCACAAAACAACCACAGAAAAAGCAACACTTACTTGATACAAGGTTTATTCTCTCGTAGGAAGGTCCTAGGACTGGCACATTCAATCCCATCCAGAGCCCGGCACTGAACTGAAGTGTGTTCCACATCGCTGTAGGCCTGACCACCAAACTGTGGCACACCCACCAAGACCAAAACAAATTCACCAAAGCAAGTGACACAAACATACATTCATTAATAAAAGCTGTCTTGTTACTGAAATTAATCTAACAAGGCTGGGGGAAAGCCCAGCCTTTTTTTCAGATTAAGTCCACCTAAATTACATTGTTTTAAATAAACTTTTTTCCTCGTGACTGACTTCTTCAGTATATACTAAAAAATACTAATTTAATTAAATGCTATTTAGTGGAGATGGACACAGTGCTTTAATTGTTCTTATACTTACAGGAAAAAGAGCACATAATGTAGCATTTGAGAATGGGAATTTAAAAAGTCAATGTGTATTTCAGGTCTGTCTTTATAGAGTAAATTAGGAAATAATCAGAATGTCATCTGAATTAGGACTTTAACTGAATGTGCGATTATTAGGTATCTGTGATCTATCCCACATGAAAGCTTAAATTCCAGCCAAGAATTTTACAAATGGGTCTCTTCTCCATTGCTTAACTGAATGCTAGCAGACAGAGAGCAGCTGTACATTTTTTTGGGTAGTACTGGGGTTTGAACTCAGGGCCTCCATCATGCTTGCTAGGCAGGCATCCTACCACTTAAGCCATTCCACCAGCAGTCTGTGTTGGGTATTTTTGAAATAGGGTCTCACAAACCATTTGCCATGGCTGGCTTCGAATTGTGATCATCATGATCTCTGCTTCCCAAGTAGCTAGAATCACTATGTGTGAGCCACTGGCACTGACTAGGTGTACATTTTTTTTTTCTTTTTTTCAGTACTAGGGTTTGAACTCAGGGCTTTGCCTGCTATGCAGGCACTCTACTACTTGAGCCAAGCCACCAGACCAGCTGTACGTTTTTTATTGGTACCTTATTTGTGACTTACTACTGCTTTTGTTGGGAGTGTTCTTCAAAAAGAAGAGATTGGAAAATAACCATGTTCAGTCCTCATACCTCCTGCGTACAGAAGTACTGAGTACTGTAGTACTTCAGTCCTCTAGGACTTCTGAGAGAGGAAGAGTTTGAGTACCTTGACAGAAAACTCAGCTTTTAAAATGGGCAAAGTAATTTATCTCTATATAATGCTAATCAATTTACCAATAATTATGAATAAAATAAAATTTCAATGCATTTAAAATACTTTTTTATTCACGATTCAGTAAGAGTTGCCTTTCTTTTTTTGCCAGTACTAACATTTGAACTCAGGGCTTTGCACTTGCTAGGTAGGCCTCTCACTTAAGCCATGCCTCCAACCCTGTTTTGCTTTAGTTATTTTTCAGGTAGGGTCTCAGAGCCTGGGGCTGGCCTCAGACCTCAATTCTCCCACCTATGGCCTCTCCTGTAGCTGGGATCACAGATGGACCATCATGCTTGGCTTGTTGGTAGAGATGGGGGTCAATCTAACTTTTTGCCTGGGCTAGCCTCAAACCTCAATTCTCCTAATCTCTGCCTCCAGAGTAGCTGGGATTATATGTGTGAGCCACAACACCTGGCTAAGAGTTACCTTTCTGTTTTTACTACTGTCAAGTTTATTCCCATGTCAGAGTTAGTACAAAAAAAAGTTTGTCCATAATTCTCTTAACACCTGGTTGAATCTTGCATTATAATATGGTGAGTTCATGGTGTGGAGGAAATACATGAAATTCCCTGGTTTTTGAGAGACTGAGTAGGAAGTGTACACCCAGTTTTAGAGATATTATTAATTAATTAGAGTGACTTCTTTCTATTCCAGGAGGTCACTGTTAGAAAGGCTTCCCCTAGAATAGTTTAACCTCCTACAAAGGCATGTACTGATTGATAGACCCTATCTATCTAAAGACATGTGGAATCTACTTGTCTGGTGAAAAAAACACCTGTTATAAACAGGAGAATTTTTCCCCAGATGTCTAACAAAGAGTTAGAACGTGCATAGCTGGGCTGCTGGAATGACTCAAGTTGTAGAGCACCTGCCTAGCAAGCACTGGGGCCCTGAGTTCAAACCCCAGTGCTGCAAAAAAAAAAAAAAAAAAAAAAAAGAAAGTGCATAGCTTTTTTTTTTTTTTTTTTAAGAAAGGGCATACATTGAAGGTGAGCTGATGTTTTAGCTTCAAATCTGGATGGTTTTGGCAGAAACTGCTCCTTCTTGAGGAAAACAAATGTGTTGTACAGCCACTGACCCCTGCCATGCTAGGAATTCCAGTAACAGTCATTTGGAATGATTTCTTTAAAAAAAACATGCAACTTTGTATGTGTTTAAGCTTTTTTTGTAATAGCATCCAGCCAGTATTATTTCCTTATGGAAGAGTTTGCCTAAATAACAAAACACTCACCTTGAGACAACCGTAACCAAGTTCCTGGGATGCTGTTGTATTTCCAACATGATCCACTGGGTCTTCACATTCTATAAATTCGTCAGGCCTGTAAATCACCAGTAAGATCATAAGCATCATCCTCTTGCAAACTGCTGTTTAGATGCATAATCAAATGCGTCATCATAACAGGCAAGAGACATCTCTTCACTAAGTTCTCTGGTGCTCAATTTCACTGTGTAGACCATCTTCCCAAGCCAAGTGGTGGTGTTAAAACACCGCAGGTCAAACTGACAGCCGCACAAGTGACTCTTTGTTGGGAAGGGGGGAGGTGTTTCTGGTTCTGTTTCTACATGGATTCTACTCCTGTCACTGGTTTCCTCTCTTTGCTAGGTAAACAACCACAACCCTATGGGGGAAACATTTAAACCCAAGGATTCTCTCTGTATTTCCTAAACACCTTTTCTTATTTGATCAAAAAGAAATGTTAAAAAATGGCTTGGTGGGGCTGGAGGCGCGGCTCAAGAGGTGGAGCGCCTACTTTGCAAGCACCAGGCCCTGAGTTCAAACCCCACTCCCACCAAACAAACAAACAAAAAGGCTTGGTTCTGCAGGATGTTGCGTTAGGCAGCGACAAACCGTTCACCCAATTTTTGTCTCAGTACGGGTGGATTATCCTTTGGCTAAAGGGTGCGGGAGACGAAAGACAACGAGGTACGCTTCTTCCAGAGGCTATGTCACTCCTCCCTACGTATTCCTCTTTTGGGATCCCAAAGGATCTGCCGCCGACACACAGGGTTATTTACCCCCTGCACGAGAGCAGCGAGGAACCTGTCATCACCACCGCCGCGCTACTGTGGGGTCAGCAGGTGGACAGTCTAAAACAAGGAAGCCTCTCCCCTCCCCCTTCCTTCCCACAACGTGCAAACATCCCGGGCCCCGTCTCCGCCTCCGCCCGCCTCGACGACCGGGCAGCTTACAGGTAAGAGCAAAGGATGACCGGCGAGTGAGGGTCACCGTACTCCCAGCTCGGAGCACCGGCGGAGCCGTCTGGGTGGACGGCGGCAGCCGATGTGAGCTCCAGCTCGGCGGTGGCATTGTACGAGTGGCTCCGGGAGACACAATGCAGCAGCAGTAGATTCCCCAGCAGTAAAGCCGCCTGGCCACACAGAAGTAAGTAACTCACTGGGCAACCACCCAGCACCATCTTCCCAGGAGTCTCCCACACAAACCCAGGCCGGCACGGCCGACCCAAGACCTGCCTTGTCAGGCCTTTCCGCGTAGCCTTGCTCCGCGCCGCCAAACAGCCAATGGGTGCGTGCTCAGACGCTCCGCCCACCTTGTAACCAATCAGAAGAGGCGGAGCAAGGAGGCGGGGCTACGCGTCTCTTCGACTTTTCAGTTCTTCTGCTGGGTCTCACTCTCCTCCGGCTTTTGCTCGGTGCTTCGTCCAATCGGTTCCCTCGACCCCCAAAGTAGGCGGACCCGGAGCAAAGGGGGCGGGGAGTATAGCAACTGGGCGGGGCCCATTGGTGCGTATTTCTGCGGCCAGTTTGGAAATCCCCATTCTCCCGCCGAGAACTACATTTGTCCCTACGTCAGCACAGCGAACGCGATGTCGGGAGCGAGCTCGGACCAAGGGCCGGGTTGCGTCAGTGCCGCGCGCGTGCTCGTCCCGGGCGCGCGCATCCCGGCTAGCCTTGGGGCCCCGGGAGGGTTACAAAATGATGGAAGAGACCGGGGCAGAGGCGACCCAGCGTTGAGAGGAACCTGCAGAATCTTTCGAGATGGGGTCGGGCGCGGGCTCGCCCGCTGGGACCCTTCCTTTCCAGTGGTTGCTGTTGTGTGGCCTGGTGGGCCCAGTTCTCGCTGGGGAGCGGTCAGGTGGGTGTCCGCCTCCTCGGTCCTTTGGAATTGCTGTGTCCCCGCGCTGGGACGCTCGGAGCTAAACCGGTGGTGCCTGGGAGTGGAGGAACCTGGGCTGGGGACGGGACCCGAGACCGGGAGGCACAGCCGCCCTCCTTGTGTGCAGACACAGCCAGACCCGAGGCTGTGTTTTGGGTCCAGTGCCCCAAACCGTTCTTGGAGCGGTCTGGTGTCTGGGTCCTCTTCCTCGTCTCCCACTTGGCGGAGACTTGGGCGCTGCACCCCACCCCCACCACTGGGCCCCCCCAGACTCTCGGGGACGACTCGGGGTCACAGGCTGACCTCGGGGAGTCTGTGAGAGCCCTGGAGGCTGGGTGCGTGCCGAGGGTGCGTTCACATGTAATGTTTTGAGAAACGGAGCTTGCCCTCGCTTGTGGAGTTGATGTCACTTGGGCCGAGACGGGAACGTGAACTTTTGCTTCTGGTTATCATAATTGGAGATTTTTGACGTTCATTTTATTAGCGGAGTCACCCGCTAGGTGTACAGAGCTAAACATGTAATGATGAAGTAAAGGAAAAGGCTCGTTTTTCTTGGGCCATTTTTGTTTTAGGAGGAGTACTTTTTTTTTTGGAAACGAAGTGCTACCTTTCTAAAGCCAGTCTTTTATCAGTGTTCGTACTGGGTTCCGATTGTCTTAAATCCGGACAAATAATCCCGGCTCTGTTTAACTCAGAAGATTCTTGTTAAGTATTAAATCATTTAAGAGAGATCGCTTTTGAATTATGAAACTTACCGTGAATGTGTAAAATAGTTACATTTGGAGATGCCCAAGCTTGATGGAAACCAATTATCAACTCTAGATTCTTTCTGGAAATGAGGTGCTGATTTTGGCTGTTGCATTAGGTGATTGTGTGCACGGTCGCGTTTTCTCTGTGAAAGATGAATACGATGGAGAGTGGGAGGGTTCACTACATTGTTGCCTGAGAGTTGTTCCAAGGTGATAATGAAAGATTTCTGTGCAGGACTGCTGACCTTCACGAAACTAAGTACATTTTTTTCTTATCTTTGGCCTTTTCTTTTTAAATTCAGTTTGCCTCTGTGTGGAAATCTTGGAATTTAAAGTACTGAAAATTTTTTTCAGTAGGACGTTGTCAAATCTTTTCTTGGTTACACAACTTTTCTTGTGGTCTTCTAAATAGTTAACATCTACCAATATTTAAGGTGAAATACATTATACATCAGGAGTCCATGATTCTGTTTGCAAATATAAATCAGACTAATTTAGTTCATGTATATGTTTATTATTACATACCTGCATACAGTTGAGTGGAATAATAGTCTTATGCTTTTTAACTGTGGCTTCAACCGGTTATGGTGAGGTCCTCATTTAAGCTTTGGTATAACTCCTTTAAAACTTAGCCACATCATTTATCAAACTCCTACAAATGCTACCCTCAATGGTTGTGGAGGGGGCAAAGGGTGAGAAAATGTGCTAAGTACATCTGAGGGATGTTCGGGCAGATTTTATAGAGAAAGTGAATTTTTCAAGTAAAAAGATATGAATGCATTCTAAGCAGAATAAAGATTATTACAAGACTAGTTTGAGAGAAATGAGGAGAATGTCAGTGTGACTAGTTATAGAAGCTAAAACTAAGATAGGTTGGTACCAGTTGATGTTCAGATTTTACTCTGTAGGAAGTTCTTTGGGCAGTGAAGTTTTTAACTGGGTGTGACACTCAGATTTTCAACGGAACACTGATATTAGGATGAAGGATAGAATCTAGGAGGGAGAGGCTGGAGATTGGGAGACCAGTTATGAGGTACTGGCAGCAAGTGTAGTGAGTCAACATGTTTCCCGTGGGGAATGTTCTTCCAGAATCAGCTGACTAAGTTTTTGCAATACAGGATGCTTGAAAGCATTTACTGAAACATCTTCCTGTAATGAAAGAGGAATTTGAGGACTCAGTAAGCCTCACCACACATTAGTTACACTGGGAATAAGTAGATTTTGACTACCATTTATAACACTGTGTCAGTGAGGAAATACAGCATAATTTCTGAACACTTACTCTAAGTAATATTTAAAAAAACTGGGGTGGACTAATTCCCTCAAGACTGAAAAATGTTCAAACATAAGTGGGGAATTGTAAGAGGTGCTGAAACTTGTTTTACTGAAAAGCACTGACGCCTTACTTGGCCTATGAATGAACTAAACACATGAGAAAAGCTTGGCATCCCTGCCTCAATTTTGCGTTTGTCTTTGTCTAAGTCATTCACCTTACAGTCCCTTACAGTTGCCTTACAAGTCAGGAAGGACTGGATTTATCATGTTCATAGGGAGGGCTGGAGGAAACTGCCCCAAAGGAAGGGAGCACCAGAGCCTCCTCAGGACCTAAAATAACAACTTCTCCAGAACGCTCCCAAAATAAGACCACACCTGTGACTGGGACTGTTTATGCATACTGTCGTTCCTATCCTAATTCTTTGTCGTTTTATTTTTTATTTATTTATTTATTTTTTCATTTTTCTTTTATTATTCATATGTGCATACAAGGCTTGGTTCATTTCTCCCCCCTGCCCCCACCCCCTCCCTTACCACCCACTCCGCCCCCTCCCTCTCCCCCCCTCAATACCCAGCAGAAACTATTTTGCCCTTATTTCTAATTTTGTTGTAGAGAGAGTATAAGCAATAATAGGAAGGAACAAGGGTTTTTGCTGGTTGAGATAGGATAGCTATACAGGGCATTGACTCACATTGATTTCCTGTGCGTGGGTGTTACCTTCTAGGTTAATTCTTTTTGATCTAACCTTTTCTCTAGTACCTGTTCCCTTTTCTCTTTGTCTTTTTAAAGTTAAAGCTAAAGTCTGTATCTTGAAGACGGCTGAAGATAGGTTGAGTGCTTACTTTGCCTCTAACCATTATCTGGCAGTGTAATAAATTTCCTTTCTCCGCCCTTCGGGGAAAAAAAAATGAAAGAAAGAAAAAAGACTGGGATGGACAAAGGTAACTTTGTATTATTGTGAAAATAACAAGGGGAATATGAAATCTCTTTTGGTTTTTCTCTTTTAGAGTAGCAGGTATGATGGAACATGTTCAGAAATTTTTCTTTGCCTCTGGCATTCACTGGGTGCCATTGGCTCACACCTGTAATCCTAACTACTTGGGAGGCTCACATCAGGAAAATCATGATTTGAGAACCATGGTTCTGGGCAAGAAAGCACGCTTAAGCAGTAGAGTGAAGCCCTGAGTTCAAACCTCTGTCCCATTGAAAAATAAAACCACCCAAAGACCTCTGGCAGTCTAAAGAAAATGAATTCAAAAGCTATTCATGGTGAATAATTGTAAAATGAAGTATATAGCAAAGTTAGGTCCATGCTGGATCTCAGTTTTAGATGCCAGCATATTAATTTGATATCTTTGTGCTAAGTAGGAGAAGTTAAAACATGTAGAATGGACTTTCTTTTCTTTTCTTTTTTTTTGTGGTACTAGAGTTAGAACTCAGGACCTCATGCTTGCTAGGCATGCACTCTACCACTTGAGCCATTCTGCCAGCCCCTAGAATTGATATATGTACAAAACTAGTTGCTGGTTTTTGAAACTAATTTTCAAAAAAGCACTTTAAATTTTACCTTACCAAATTTGACTTTAAATATTTACTCTGTTAAAAATACTGGTTTAGCACGCTAAGATTCCACCTCACCTCTGTTAGAATAGCCATCGTCAGCAACACCACCAACAACAGGTGTTGGCGAGGATGTGGGGAAAAAGGAACCCTCTTACACTGTTGGTGGGAATGTAGACTAGTACAACCACTCTGGAAAAAAATTTGGAGGCTACTTAAAAAGCTAGACATCGATCTACCATTTGATCCAGCAATACCACTCTTGGGGATATACCCAAAAGACTGTTACTCCAGAGGCACCTGCACACCCATGTTTATTGCGGCACTATTCACAATAGCCAAGTTATGGAAACAGCCAAGATGCCACAGTACTGACGAATGGATTAAGAAAATGTGGTATCTATACACAATGGAATTTTATGCAGCCATGAAGAAGAACGAAATGTTATCATTTGCTGGTAAATGGATGGAATTGGAGAACATCATTCTGAGTGAGGTTAGCCTGGCCCAAAAGACCAAAAATCGTATGTTCTCCCTCATATGTGGACATTAGATCAAGGGCAAACACAACAAGGGGATTGGACTATGAGCACACGATAAAAGCGAGAGCACACAAGGGAGGGGTGAGGATAGGTAAGACACCTAAAAAATTACCTAGCATTTGTTGCCCTTAACGCAGAGAAACTAAAGCAGATACCTTAAAGCAACTGAGGCCAATAGGAAAAGGGGAACAGGTACTAGAGAAAAGGTTAGATCAAAAAGAATTAACCTAGAAGGTAACA